GGAAGGCAGGAAGGCAGGAAGGAAGGAAGGAAAAAAAGAAAATGTTCTTTTAAAACTTGGGCTTAATTCTGAACCATCAGAATCTTCATTTGTGGGACCGTTTTCCTGATATTTTTAAAAAGTTTACCTTTCATAAATGTGTGTCCATTTGAATTTTTATTTGCATTCAAGTTGATTTTCTGGTTTCAAAATCAGAGTCACAGCAGTTGTTGACACGGAAAAAAAATTTGCCAAAGCAAAAGTTGGTATGGTGTGCCGTGGGATTTCATGAGTTAAAAGTTACATTCCTTGTTCAATAACTTTTACTTCTCTTTTATTCCATGATATTCGGGGTTCTGTGGCTAAAGGTACTCAGGAACTTGCAGGTTGCCTTTCCCTAGAATACTCTTGAACCAGAATCAGCATGGGGACCACTACAGACCTGACCTGGATCTCAGAGCCCTTATGAAGAAATCATTACCACACATCCCGTTCTCCGCCTCCATTCCACTGTACTCATATGATTTGGGAGTATCTGAGGCTGGAACTTAAAGCGTAATTTTCAAGGAGTCTCTGAGTCTACTGAATTTTTGGGGTGGCCCCAATCCCAATCCATGACTTGGGGACAAATTGGGGGGTTCTTAAATTTCTGGGCAAGTTCAGATTCCACAGTGTAGGCCAGGTCAGCCCTGCGTCTTGGCATGAATCTGAGAAGCCTGTGGAATGCCAAAGGACTCATAGCTCTGATCTGAGACATGCTCTTTGCTCTTTGATGAGACTAGCCATCAGAAATGATAGTAGAAAAATCTGAGTGCTTGGCTATTAAGCCAGTTTCTGCCTGATGAACAGATCTCCTTAGATGTGAGCCCAGCGCTTCTTCAGTTCATTCTAGGGCCCTGGGGTACAATTTATGGCTTGGAATAACTCAGTGCTAAGCTGTCTGCAGGGTTTAAATTGTCACATTCCTTCTGGAGTCAAGGTTGCTATAATCGTCTACAGCAGCTCTGGGAAGGGCCACAGGGTGGAGTGGAATTTCGCACATGCCATACGCGGCTTACTCATCCTGTGAGATCTGGCTTGGACGTGCTGCAGTTGGGAGGAGAGGAGGAGATGTGTCTGGATGATACAATCACGGGGACCCCAGACCTGCAAGGATGAATTCCGAGCTATAATTGTTCGCCGTTGACGCACGTGCTCAGCTTGGTTTTCTGGTCCCGGGATTTCAGCACTCAGCAGTCACCTCCCCGCTGGGCACGGTGAGAATTTGGTGTACCAATTCAAAAGATACTGAGGGCATTTTAAAAGGAAACCAATGCAGTCCATTTTCTCCAACCCCAAAGAAAGTATCCACTCACTGGGGAGAAATAACAAAATTAGATTTTGATTTCTTATCGTAGAACAAAGGTTTTTCTATTAATCGAGGCTCAAATACAAAGTGGTAAAAAGAATTAAAACACTTTATCAACATTGAATGTATTATTAAACACAAGATACTGTAAGTTTTGGGGACAGAATTTATCCAAATTTTATCCTTTGCCATCTTTTATTATTAAAAAATCTTCTATCACCACTCCTGCCACACCAAAGAATCCCCCAGGGAGCATGATCCCTAGTGAGTCACGTTTCTGTTCTGGATATCCCCATCAACAGAAGGCGTTGTCATTCTTTACTTCCCCTAGTTTTTATCTGACAAATAGGACTTTTTCTCTACATTTAATATCATAAATAAAATTTTCAAACACAAATGCCCTTGGAGACTGAATCATAAACGCATTCTCCTCCTTCCCCCCTCACCCAAAGTTTCCTTGGTTTGAATTACAAGCCCGGGGGAAAGAAATAGCAATCTACCTTGATTAATGGAGCACTCAGCAGAGGCCCGCGCTCCCTATTCTCTGCCTTGCTTTCTACCTCGCTGAATAAATGTACACCATTATCTCAATCTCACTTCAGCCTTTACCAGTGAAATTGTCAGAATTGCCACTGCCCTTTTGGTTAGCCTTAACCAAATGATATTCTCAGTCACATTTTAAGTCAGGTTTGTGAAAGTATAATTTATATACAGCATTCACTGTTTTTAGGAGTACAGATATATGAATTTTGAAAAATGTGTCAAATTTTAGAACTTCCAACATATCAACGTACAGAAAATTTCCGTCACTTCAAAAAGGGTCCTTGGCCTATTCAGTCGATTTTCTTCCTGACCCCAGCCCCTGACAAATCCTTATCTGCTTTCTATCCCCATAGTTTTGTCTTTTCCGGAATGTATTATTAATGGGAACATGCAGTATGTAGCCTTTCGGGTCTGGCTTCGCTCACTGACATGCATTTGAGATGCATCCACTTGTTGCAGCTCTCAGTGGCCTCTTCTTTTTTGTTGCTGAGTAGCTGTCTGTTGTATGGATGTACCGTTGTTTCCTTTTTTTTTTTTTAATTGCATTTTAGGTTTTGGGGTACATTTGAAGAACATGCAAGATAGTTGCATAGATACACACATGGCAGTGTGGTTTGCTGCCTTCCTCCCCATCATCTATATCTGGCATTTCTCCCCATGCTATCTCTCCCCAACTCCTCACCCCCCACTGTCCCTCCCCTATTTCCCCCCAACTGACCCCAGTGTGTGATGCTCCCCTCCCTGTGTCCATGTGTTCTCATTGTTCAACACCCACCTAGGAGTGAGAACATGCGGTGTTTGATTTTCTGCTCTTGTGTCAGTTTGCTGAGAAAGATAGTTTCCAGGTTCATCCATGTCCCTACAAAGGACAGAAACTCATCGTTTTTGGTGGCTGCATAATATTCCATGGTGTCTATGTGCCACATTTTCCCTATCCAGTCTATCGTCGATGGGCATTTGGGTTGGTTCCAGGTCTTTGCTATTGTAAACAGTGCTGCAATGAACATTCGTGTGCACGTGTCCTTATAGCAGAACGATTTATAATCCTTTGGATATATACCCAGTAATGGGATTGCTGGGTCAAATGGAATTTCTATTTCTATGTCCTTGAGGAATCGCCACACTGTCTTCCACAATGGTTGAACTAATTTACACTCCCACCAACAGTGTAAAAGCGTTCCTATTTCTCCACATTCTCTCCAGCATCTGTTGTCTCCAGATTTTTTAATGATCGCCATTCTAACTGGCGTGAGATGGTATCTCAATGTTGTTTTGATTTGCATTTCTCTGATGACCAGTGATGATGAGCATTTTTTCATATGTTTGTTGGCCTCATGTATGTCTTCTTTTGTAAAGTATCTGTTCATATCCTTTGCCCACTTTTGAATGGGCTTGTTTGTTTTTTTCTTGTAAATCTGTTTTAGTTCTTTGTAAATTCTGGATATCAGCCCTTTGTCAGATGGGTAAACTGCAAAAATTTTTTCCCATTCTGTTGGTTGCCGATTCACTCTAATGACTGTTTCTTTTGCTATGCAGAAGCTGTGTAGTTTGATTAGGTCCCATTTGTCTATTTTGGCTTTTGTTGTCAATGCTTTTGGTGTTTTGGTCATGAAGTCCTTGCCTATGCCTATGTCCTAAATGGTTTTGCCTAGATTTTCTTCTAGGGTTTTTATGGTGTTAGGTCTTATGTTTAAGTCTTTAATCCATCTGAAGTTTATTTTAGTGTAAGGTGTCAGGAAGGGGTCCAGTTTCTGCTTTCTGCACATGGCTAGCCAGTTTTCCCAACACCATTTATTAAACAGAGAATCCCTTCCCCATTGCCTGTTTTTGTCATGTTTGTCAAAGATCGGATGGTTGTAGATATGTTGTGTTGCCTCCGAGGCCTCTGTTCTGTTCCATTGGTCTATATCTGTGTTTTGGTACCAGTACCATGCTGTTTTGATTACTGTATCCTTGTAGTATAGTTTGAAGTCCGGCAGTGTGATGCCTCCCACTTTATTCTTTTTGCTTAGAATTGACTTGGCTATGCTGTACCATTGTTTCTTTATGTGCTCTCTAGCTGATGGACATTTGAGTTTTTTCTGCGTTTTAGTGATCGTGAATACAGCCTCTATAAACATTCACTTTCAGGTTTTTGTATGTACATATGTTTTCATTTCTCTTGGATAAATATCAAGGAGTGAGACTGCCAGGTGGCATGAAGCTTAACTATATCAGAAACAATTGTCCAAGGAATCTGTACTACTTTGCATCACCACCAGCTGTGAATGAGAGTTCCTGTTGCTCCACATCCTTGTCAGCATTTGATATTATCAGATTTTGTTTTGTTTATATTTTGCCCAATTTAAAGGTATGTAATAGTTTTCATTTGTGTTTTCCTGATAACTAATGGTATGGAGCATTTATCATGTCCTTATTTACCTCTGCATCTTCTCTTTGGTTAAAGTGGCTGTTCAAAGTTTTGGCCTATTTTGCTTATTGTATAGTATTTTAGGTTTGGGGGTATGTGTGAAGAACATGCAGGATTGTTGCATAGGTACATACATGGCAATGTGGTTTGCTGCCTTCCTCCCCATCACCTATATCTGGTATTTCTCCCCATGCTATCCCTCTCCAACTCCCCACCTCCCGTCCCTCCTCTAGGTCCCCCCACAGACCTCAGTGCATGATGCTCCCCTCCTGGTGTCGATGTGTTCTCATTGTTCAGCACCCGCCTATGAGTGAGAACATGCAGTGTTTGATTTTCTGTTCTTGTGTCAGTTTGCTGAGAATGATGGTTTCCAGGTTCATCCATGTCCCTACAAAGGACATGAACTCATGGTTTTTTTATGGCTGCATAGTATTCCAT